CTTAGAAACATCTTAGTAGAAAATCGCTCCCTGTCGCCTAAATCTCGGCCAAAGTTAAAAAATCAAATTTTTCAGGCAGAAATTTCCGGAGGTCATGTGAGATTCCGTAAATCGACGCCTAATTAAATTTCCTGATGTGGTGGCTAATTTCGTAAATATAATCGTGTTTAGTTTTGCATATGTATTTCGGGGGTTTGTTTCGGTGTATAATTATTGATGATATTAACCCACATATATAATCGTGAATTTTTTCTTGGCATCTTTTCTTCTGAACCAGAAACGAAATTTCATCACATGAATATTTATGCTAGTTAGCTCAAAAATTAAATAAATCATTTTTTATTACTAAAAATGTAACCAGAATTAGATTTATTAGAAGAGAAAACTAAGGAAGCTACACTAGTCAAGCTTAAGGCTAAGAATGCAGAACTTATGGCTGAGAAAGCTGAGCTTGAGGCCAAGTATGGAGAATATGTAAAGCTTAAGGGTGAGAATGCCAAACTTTTAAAACGAATTATAGAGGAATATGCTAAAAATAAGGCTGATATAGTAAAATTAAAAACTAGTTTGCAATATCTAATCCTTTTTGAGCATATTAAGACTACAATTCTTGAGCTTGAGATAAGGAATACAAAATTAAAACCAATTATAGAGGAATTTACAAAGAAATCAGAATCTAGCCACCTTGTGATTGGCGAGAAAAATCACAAATTTCAGACTAAATGCATTCAAATAGCCGAGGAAATTCTTAATGAGGAACTGATAATTGAGTATCACCCTCCCTTCTTGAATGGATTGGAATTTGATACCTTCTTTCAAAAATATCGAATCACATTGGAGGTACAAGGAAGTCAGCACCGATTCCACTACACTGGCTGGTATAAGGATGTTAAAAAACTCGAAGATATTGTTAATTGTAATTGGAGAAAAAGATGCATATGTCAAGATAACGGAATTTTTCTTCTTGAGGTATGGTACGATGAAAAACCAGAAATAGTTATTCATGAAAGGATTCAAAAAATCAAGGGTTTCGTTAATCAGACATTTAAAATTTTCGACCTATAATCAAATAATCTATAATTTATTATTTAAATTGCATCAATAAAATTAATAATAATACTCGATATTTAAATGATCATATGTGGTTATCTGTCTAGTTAGTATATATATCAAATTATTTATTCACGATCTGTTAACTATGCAATTTACATTTCACAAAAATATATAAAATAAACGGATACTTTATTTATTAATTTGCTGTTATTATTATTAATATACTAATTTTATGCATTCGGTCAGTGAAAATCACGTATACACGGTGCAGTAACTATGATGAGTTAGATGCTAACTTCCTCGAATTTCTCTATTTTAGTATCAATCTCCTTCCAGCTCAACTTGAAGATTCGCAATGCTGAAAATGTTTTAATTCGGGCATCATTTCTTTTCCTTTAAAAATACTATTAAAAAAAGCAAATATTTTCCGTGCAAAATTTATTTATTTATTTTATTAGAAGATTAAATGGAAATAGTAGTGCTATATGTAATGCATATTTGCCATTTTTGATTATATAAAAAAAGAATTATTATGAACCGGATTCACGATCTCATGTGAGAATATATCTAATAACTATCTATCTATTTTAATACAAACTACAATTTCGGATCAAGTTCCAGAGTATATTGTTTGAAGCGATTAATTCAGGGTGGTTTACTCCTGAGAACAGTCCTGTTTGCGGTATGAAGAGCCTGTGGTTTGTAAGAGCTATACAAATCCTTCGATAGGACAAAATAAAAATTGATATCTGAATTACCGTCCTTATCAATATATTTTTCCAAGCCACTCTTGATGATAGGATAACTCTCAGCAGTAGTCATTTGGAAGAATGTGTCAGGAGAAACAAATGCATCGAAAGATGCGTTATTTTTTTGAATTGGTATACAATATCGGGTTTGTATAACCTTATCAGGTTTGCTGAACAACAATTTGTTCCAAGGAGGTATTATTAATTTGAGATTATGATTAGTTATCCCGAAGCAAGAGGTAGTCTTTTCAAATAAAGGACGAACCTTAAATGACTCTCCATTTAATAATTTTCTATGAGCGATCTGCTCAAATATAGCACCCCGAAGTGTGCCATAATCACTTATTGATTTGTTAACTTGCACAAAAGCCTGCAACTGTTTTCTGTAATTCGCTAGGAGTACATCCATTACCTTTTCATAAACATAATTGGATGCAAAATCTAAATTTGACAATATATAAAAGGGTACCCCTTTATTATCTTCGTCTGGCTTAGTTACTGTAGGAGAGGAAGATTCTCCAGTATCGTCTTCTACTTCACTTATTTCCTCTACTTCCTCTACTCCCTTTCCTTTCTCACCTACTTGTGGCATGTTCGTACGGATATGAACAATTTTGTGACTGGCACTATTGTCCTCTGTGGTTTCGCCAACAAAATTTAATATATTATCATTAACTGAGTTAATTGCCTTCTGAAGGAGTTCTTGCTGAGAAATATTGAGTGTATAAAACAAGATAAAGCGAGGAATTCCACCTCATTTATTGTGTAATTTCTTAACCTTCTTTTGAGTAAGATCACGGAAAAGCACATTCCTACACGTGTCAGTTTCTTCCTAAGACCATACTGGCATGTATCAAATAATTGTTCCAAGCTTATCAAACGCACTATAGTAACGTTTTTGAGGCGAACAGATTAGAATTGTTCTGGTGACATATTCCATTAGCTCCCTGCTATCAACTATATACCAAACATCTCTATTTTTCAGGTAACCTCTGAATTCATGAATATTGTCTTTGGAACTGTTAAAAATGCTTTCCTCGCTAAAGAGAATCAGGGCTTATTGTATCTGTGATATACAACCATTTTATTTTGTTGTGCAAGTTGACAAAGCAGGTAATAACCGAAGAAGGTTTTCCCAATCCCTGGATTTCCAGTAATACGCCAACGACGGACATTAATATTTTCAAAGATAATCTTAAACAGATGGAGATAACATTCACGGATGAACAGAGTGGATATTTTGGAACCTTGCTCATTATCGCCTGTAAGATAGGAAACATCATCAAAAAATAGAAGGAACTGGCCACTCTCAATCTCATTAACTTTCCCCTTTTTCAAAGCATTCCAAAGCATTCTCAGTTCTTCATTATCGGTTTCAATTTTTCTTCGTTTGCTATGGGGCACTATGTATTGAAAAAATAATATTAAATATGGCGCAACTCAAACGAGAACGAAACAACGGCTATCAAAAACAAGCCATCTCACGTTGACATACCGATGGCAACAGGTTGCTCGATTATTACATGAATATGCCTTTTCGGTGGCTTCTCAGCCCAGTAATCTTCTATATCTCAGGTTGCACGAAGTTCGTCTTCGTCTTTGAGCGAAAGAGCGTTCAACAAATCTTCTCTATCGTCAGGTATTTCCACTTTCCACAGCCTGAGCTTGTCTGCGTCAACACCAGTAAACTCATTGGGCTTCTTCTCCTTGATAGCTTCCTTGAGATTATCAATAATATCGTTCTTGTTGGCCTTGACGGAAAAGACGTGCGTTGCTGAGTTTCCTTTAACAAGGCAGAAAAGTTTGATAGACATTGCAAGTTATTGTATATATGCAGTAAATGAAGTAAATACTGTATTTCGAGAAACGAATTCTTTAT